TGATCATACAGTTGCAACTACATCGATCAGACAAAAGTAGATCTACTTCTACATCAAAACTTTTTGGTATCTCTTCTATAAAGATTAAACATAAGCCTGAGGTCAAGTTGCTGTTGGACGGGGAGTCGCAAAGCTAGAGGATTGTCAGCAGTTGGTGTTTGGTAGAACGATAAGGTGTGAGTCAAAGTCAAAGTTCAGTGTACTTTGTTTCAAGCATAGTGGATCGGTTTACATTGGACTGCACAGTCCACGAGGTTTTTTCCTACGCAAGCAGTTGACGTATTTTATCAACTGGGGTTTCCTCGCTAAAATCCTGGTGTCATCTCTAACTTTACTTTGCTTTATTTTAGATTACATGATATTAATTACTAATTGCTAAAATAAAGTAAGTTAGAAAAACACAAGATCTGTTTTGAAAATAATCAAAACTTTCTAAGTATTTTCCACTACGTACAACTCACAGAGTAAATGAGCCAGAAACACTTATTAGGGGCAAAATAATTAACTCAAACTATAAATATTGTCTATGCCAAAGAAAAATCAACAATGCAGAGTCTGAATATCATTAAAACTGTTGTTAACCAGAATATTGAACATCAATATCACAAAGGTAAAGGCTCAAGTCAATGACCAAGTGAACAATTCAAATTGAAGTCTGAATATCATCAAATTGTTGTTGACCAAATGTCCTTTGATGGGAGAAAAATTTTATTGTTTCAAGATTCTGGGATAGAAATTAGCGAAAGCAATAGAATTAAACAACGGTACATTAAAATATCTACATGGATTGTCAAATATGTGAAATACAAATTTGTATTTTGCCTAATTTTATTCGTCAAAATGAGTCTGATCGAGTTGTAAATTATCAGTTTGTTTTGTTAAAACTCAAGATCTGAAGTAAAATTGAAGAAGTGATCGTGCTCATGCTTCAATACACTCCATAATGATGAGAACAACGCCCTAGTAAGGTATGTGAGTGTGCGGACACTTGGGGAGTTCAAAATTAGGCTTAGAGAAAATTTCTATTATGCCTAACTTGAACCAACAGTTTAGCAAAACTTGAACCGGTTCAACTTTTGAAGGCCTTTTCGTGAAATTCAAGTTTCAACGTCATTATTTTAAAATCACTTATGGCGAACTTGAATCAGTTCAGGTTCAGCCCCAAGTGAACCGGTTCAAGTCCGTCATACCATTTTGGTAACTTTGTTTCTTGGTCTATTTTGGCTTCTTGTTTTGGACAAACTTTTGCTATATTAATCATCTACGAAATTGACTTGTTTTTCAAGTTCAATTAGGTTTTCAAAGTCTATAAATATATGTTTTCTTACTTCAACTTTTATGGCTTGAAAATATATATTTTTCTAATTGAGATAATTGTTTAAGAGAGATTTTTATTGAGAAAATCAATCTGAATTTTATTTTGAGAAGACACACATAAACATAAGAGTGATTTAGGAGTGATGTTCTATATCTGATCGGAATTGGAGCATAATTGAAGATTTTGAGAAGCAGGATTTTATTGTTCTTCATCAAATTCAGAACTGAAGAAAATGGGCGATTCGATCATACTTTAAAGGGGTCAAAGCATTCGTGGAGTGTTGTTTCATCTACAAGCAATCTTTTTACAGAAAGTTGACAACTGTTGGACGGGGGAGTCATAAAGCCAAGGATAGTTAGCAATTAGTTTTTGATAAAATGTGAGTCTTAGTCAAATGTACTTTGCTTCGAACATAGTGGATTGTTTTGCTCTGGACGACATAGTCCATGAGGTTTTTCCATAACGGTTGCTTGATTTGTACCAATTGGGGTTTCCTAGCTAAAAATTCCGATGGTCATCTGTCAAACTTTATTTACTACTTGCACTTTATTTTTGTTTTGTGGGTTTGATTTTAATTTTAAATAAGTAAAAATTAAATAAAGGAATAAGTAAGACCTATTCACCACGTGCTATTCCGCTGCACATTTTGTAACAACTGATTACATCAAACAAGATAATGATTTCTAATATAACAATTATGAAAGATATATACAAGTAATACAAGCTAGAGTTCAAGTTTCCTCTTCTTCTTAATTAAACTACTGCTCCCTATCCAACTAAAATGGAAAAAGAACTGTATCGGTTGACTCAATTTTAATTTGGTTAAAATTAAAATAATCAAATAAAGAAGAAAGTAAAACAAGCTTATTCATTCTCTAGGTTATTTTTGAATCAATCATTTACATTCATTCTGTATAGTGCAACTCAAAAACTGTGCATTCTGTATAGTGCAACTCAAAAACTTTCACGCTGTGCATTCTGTATAGTGCAACTCAAAAATTTTCACATTCATAAAGAGTTTTATTATTATAATTAGTATTATATATTTCCGTTGGAAGGGTGATGGCGTTATAGGAGCAGCTAGCTCTTTCTATACTTTTTATTTTTTTTAATTTATTTTCCCAAAAAACAACCAAATGCATATCCTTCTCATTATAATTGCACTGATAATCAAATAAGCAAAGGCATACCACTTCTTTTTTATTTTATTTTATTTTTATTTATTTATTTTTTTTCAAGTTCACTGGACCAAATATTTGATTCCTTGTTTTGAGATCCACCACGTGATGAAAGAAGAGAAAAATAATAGTGTGATGTATCTTTTAATGCTTTACAATAAGGAAAAAAATGAAAACCCAAACAATATGAATACAGTATATTAATTGAACAATATGAATACACAGTATCATGTCAGAGGTTAATCCTAATCTCACGGATAGGGAGTCCTTCCACCTCTCGCGGGGAGACAAGTGCGCACGTGTCAGTTTTGGTGCACAGTAAAGAACATCACCTCCTATTTCTAATACTCCGAAATACATACACCATGCTATTCAAGGTTCAAACTTCAAACAATGACAGCTCCTTGTGATTAGCATCCAAAAGTTATCATAATAATAGATCTTGGGCACGTGCGCACGTGTCTTGTCTCGCTTCCGTCCACTATTGGTGCCTTTAAACATTCAACATACACGTGAATGAACGAGCGGTGTATGAATAAAAAGATTCTCAGTTGTGACAATTTACAAATAATTTATGCTTTGGTTTTTAGTATCAAGTTGTTGACGCTTTGTCTATGAATTGAAAGTTGGTCATTTCTTAATCAATGTGGTTCTACCTGTACTCCCAGTGATATATATATACACACACACACACACACACATATATATATATATATATATATTGCGTTCTATGAGCTGTACCCCGAGTGATATATATATATGTGTGTGTGTGTGTGTGTCTGTAGGGTTAGCATTTAAAAATCTTATAGATGGCGCCCTAATGCATGAAGTAGTTTACGGACTACGTATCCGTGTTTATATGATTATATCCAAGTATCATTATTTTTTACCATCATATGTAAATCTCCACCCCCCCCCCCCCCCCCCCAAGAACCATCGAAACTCAATTCCACACATTTACCTCAATTTAAACCTACAATTAAGAAAACTACACTTTAGTGTGTGTAATTTTTTTTTTTTCATGGTAAGAATGTTAAGAATTAGTTATTAAAAATGAAGACACATTGGTGTAATTTTTCCTCTCTCTCTCTTTAATTCATATAATGAATATTATAAATATAAAATTACCATACCAATGAATTTATATATACTTTTTGACAAGTTGTGAGCTTTTAAAAGTAAGCTAAAAAGGTTCAATTGCAAATTTTAATATGTTTTTATTGGACACAGAGTTATACTTATTTCAAAACTCATAAATTTTAGGGCGGATAAATAAATAATAATTTTTTTGGGGGGAGGCCAAGAGGTTTTAGGATCAATTATAAAATAAGTTTTTTTTTTTGTAAGTCATGAAATAAAATAACAATTTTTGGGGGACATAGCATGAAGAAGAAACGTGGTAATTTGGGGTGGGAGGCGCGGCTTATGCCTCCATAATCCATTGGCTACATATACCCATGCCATCTCCCTTCTATTTCCACACAACTCTTCCTTCTCTTCCTAGTAGCTGGCAGCCCTTTCTCGTCTATTCTTTTTGGTATGTTTTCCATCTTTTTGGCTATTACATCATCAACCTTTTTCTTTTCTATTTTTGCTCTATTTTTCTCTATTGATCCTCAAAAAGTTACATATCAGCATGAGTTTTATAGCGAGAGATGAGTAAGTAATTGTTCTTCATATTAATTCCCATGCCAATAGAAAAAAGAAAATTATAACTACTCAATTTGTGCTAGTCTTGATTTGTAGTCACCATCATCCTAACATTTATCTCATAACCTATCGTATTCTTTAAAACGTTAGCAAGAAGCTCCTAGGATTATTACTTGATTAAACTTATGGAGACACACTTGCAATACATAGTGTGTCTAGTGACCTACTGACACAATTGTGTCACATATAACTACGTGCTTTCAATGTGACAAAAGAAATAATAAGGTTAATTAATGGTTTAGATGTATTGTTTGTTTAAGAAATGATAATAAAAGTATCTACCCTCATATTCAGTGAGTCTTTTTAAGTAATGGTCTCTGAATTATATTTTGGAAATGTATATATAGATATAGATATATTTATGTAGGTATATGGTAAATTTATTTTATTTTATTTTTCTAGTTATAAAAGAACCTCAAGTTCAATGATATGATCTCTTCCCCTCATAGAGGAAGTTGAGAGTTTGAATCCCAATATGTTTTTTTTTTTTTTTTTTTGAAAAGTAAATTTAAATATTATAAAGAGGGAGCCTAAACATAATGAGTATGTTTTGGATAATGAGTATGCATGTGTCTGCCTCCAAATTTTTGTCCCATATAAAAGGGAGAACTAATTTCATTTTCTTGAATTGCATACTAGCTTGCACACATATATATACACACACATACATATATATATATATACATACATATATATATATATATATATATATATATATATATATATATATATGTCGTAATTATTTTTTGATGCAAACTTAAGGTGCTACACTTATCTAGAGCTTTAAGGAATCCATGGCGGATGGGAAGACAGTTAGTTTCGGGCCATATGGTGGTGCAGGAGGAGATAAGTGGGATGACGGAACCTACAACACGGTAAGGGAAATAACTATACACTCCTCCAAAATTGGTGAGATTAATTCCATCCAAGTTGTCTATGATGTTGATGGAAAGCCAGTAATGGGACAAAAGCGTGGTCGTCTAACCGAAACTCCACACACGGTAATTTATATATATATATGCAATTTTATTTTACAAATCTGCGACTCATGCGCAAATTTATTTGATTCTATAATATTTGTCAAGCCTCTCATGTTTTGTGAAAGCTAGCTAGCTAGAAAACGTAACATCTGAAGAAAAAAAAAAAAATCATTACGGACTATATCACATTATTATGTGTATTAAAATTATGTATGAGAAATTTTACATATTGCTTCCCTATAATTTTCATTTGCTAAAAATATTTCTTAATTTTTTTTTTTCTCTTTTACTATTCAAATTCCTTAGATTCCCTTAGAAGAAAAAGTTATATTCCCATTCTTCAATTAAACCATTTTTTTTTTTTTTTTTTTTTTTTTTGTCCTTTTTAAAGTTCTCTCATTTATTTTATTTTATTTTCTTCTTCTTCTTTTTTTTTTTTTTAATTAATTAATTAATTTATTTTTATTTATTTTTTTATTTTTTCCCTTAAAATTCTTCTATTTGCGCTCATGTATGATGTATATATGTTCTGTAAATTTTTTCCCTCCCGTTCTTATTTGAATTTATTATTATGAACTCAATGTATGCATTTTATATATTTGAAAATTTCCTTACTGCATTTTTTTGCGAATAATGACATACTATTTAAACAGAGACTAATAGACCACTTCTATTTTTCGAATTATTGTCTTACTGCACTTTTAGAAGTCATGTTACTTAAAAAAATAAATTACTCTAACATTTTCAATATGCAGCCTCCACAAAAATATATTCACGTCTCCATCACTATTTTTATTGAGGCTATCATCACTAACTTGATTGAAGATAATTAAATCAATGAAAAAAATAGTGCTGCTGCCCAATGTGACATGGATAATGAGGCTAGTATACATTGCTTTCAAAATACGAAAATCCATCTATGATAGTTGTAATTGTAGTGAATCGAAATATTACAATTCAATATTTTGGGCCTTATATTTGTCAAATATTTATCTTTCTTATACTACACCTTGATTACCATATTATTTTACAATGATGTTTATTTTATTTTATTTTTTTGTTTGCCTTATAATTTGAACTATCTATATTTTTCATAATAGTTGAATATTTTTTATGAAGTATACTGAGCCCCTGATATAAAACGTATAAATGATATCTATCTATCTTAGAACTCTACAATTCACATTATGAAGTATACAACCATATATACATATCTTAGTACACAAACCTGTAAATTTGTTATTCGAATTTGTTTTCGGCAAGGTACTGTTGTGACCAGGTTTTTATCCAAAAATTGGGCTATGCCATAGCGGGGGGCAGGGAAGAAAAAGAAACCTCATTTGGTCTTGGGTTTCATGGATCCAAATTCTAGTCAATATTCTAATCACTTTTTCTAGTGTGGTATGAGAAAACATTGAAAGACGAAATAGAGTGTGAGAGAGACAAAAGATGGGTTTGAAAACAGAGTATGAGAGAGAAAAGATTGGGGGTTTGAAAACTTATAATCTCCCTTTTTTAACATAGTGAAAATTTTCTTGGACGTTACGTTTTTCTGTCTTTTTTGTGGTTTATCAGTGTTTGTCGTAATATCAAGTTTATCCTTGTTAATTAAAATCTTACAGGTTAAATTAGACCATCCTACCGAATATCTCATTTCGATGTCAGGGTATCACAGTACTAAGTCTCGTGTTGTGAATTCTCTTACATTCCAAAGCAATAAAAAACAATATGGACCATATGGTAAGGAAGGAGGAACTCGTTTTGAATCCCGGTTAGCTGAAGGCAAGATTGTTGGATTCTTTGGACGGAAGGGTGATGTTTTGGATTCAATTGGAGTATACATTACACCATTCAAAACTACAGTACCTAGTGTTGGTCCATTTGGAACTAGTGGTGGACAACAGTGGGATGATGGAACTTACAGCACGGTAAGAGAATTAATTATACACTCTGGATGGGTAATTGATTCTATCCAATTTGTTTATGATAATGTTGGAAAGCCAGTATCGGGAACAAAGCATGGTTCTGACGGCGGACAACTAAGCACGGTAATATATATATATATATATATATATAGATATATATACATACATATATATGCAATTTGAGTTTCAAATTTTCTCTTTTTTTGTTGAAGATTTTAATATTCAAGCTTTCATTTTTGCAAATATGACTGCCATGGATACTTACCCTTTTTTTTCGCCTATATAAATTATTGCAGGTCAAATTAGACTCAGATGAATTTTTGCTTTCATTTTGGGGGTACTATGGACAAGTAGATAAAGTGGTTGTCATTCGGTCGCTTGGATTTCAAAGCAACAAAAGAACATATGGACCATTTGGCATGGAAGATGGAGAGAAATTTGAATTCCCATCCACTGGTAGCAAGATTGTTGGATTCTATGGAAGGTCTCACAAATATCTTACTGCAATTGGAGCATATCTCGATAAGTGAGGATAAAATTTGGACAATGATCATGAGCCAACTTTTACTAGTCTTTTAATTTTTAATAAAATTTAGACATTACTGCATTTGTATTCGATGCAGTAAAAATAATGAATGCTCTGTGTTGTCCGTAAAGCTTGGTGAAAGTGGTCAAGGCAACACAAGCATGTGTTTGTGTGTATGATTTTAAGTAATTTTCTTTATTATTATTATTATTATTATTATTATTATTATTATTATTTTGTGCTAAGCTTGAAAGTAGGGTTGGTTATGTATTTTGTGAAATTATGTTAATCCAGTAATAAGATGTCGTATGTTATCTCCGATGTTCCTTATAATAAATTTTTTGATTGTACTTGTAAAAGAAAAATCTTGTTGGTTGTGAAAAAAATTATGCCCTCTCTTTGGCTTAAATACATTTATGGTTTGATAATCATTATATGACGTTGGATGTATTTTGTAGATGGATAGCTAGTATAGAAAAACTCTGCTTTATGAAAAAAAAAAATAATAATAATAAAATACACTCTGCTTTACACAAGATTCTAAACTCTATTTCTAGTCATAAAATATCGTTCATACCTCATACATAGACGGTGCTACAATACATTCCTCAACTAGCATTGTGGTTTCATGGATCTTACACACAAACCTTAATTTGTGAGCTGAGCATAAAATCAGCTTGGGATAATTTTTTTTTTGACAAAACTAACCTTCTTGTTGTGAAAAGACCAAATTATCCATTCATATTAACCAAATTACGTCTTCTCCGGGACAAAAGTACCCTTCTTCTATTTGGATCATATTACTTTGAATATCAGTATCGCCATTGCCCCCCTCTGTCTCTCTCATTACCGAACGTTGCTCTCTCTACTTCAAGAACTTCTCTCTCATTTATCCAAAAAAAAAAAACTTATCTCTCAAATTTATTCATCAAGAAGAATATTGGATTGTTACTAGATCACATATATGTATATATCATTGAAGGCTTACAAGGTCCTTGAGCGAAAGTGTTGCAAACCAGAGTCTAGGGTGAAACCATAACTTTAGTGTTTTTCAAGAAGGGGCAAAACCATAACTTTAACAATAAACAATTTTTCTAGATTTTTTCATTAAACAAATAGTTTAATTTCAAGGATAAAAATATAAATTCATACCAATCCGCTAACCACCTTTCTGTTATATTGTGGCATCTTCTATATACATGCATGAGATTAAAAGCTGAGATGTACTTTGTGTAATTTGCCCTTTTTATTTTTGTATGTATGATTCTTTAAAAGTGAATGACTACTTTTAAAACCTTTCTGCACAATCTTGCAGAACTGAGACAATATAAACATTTTTGGTTTGATCTCCATAAGCAGTATTAAAGTTCAACTTCAAAACACCATCTGAATGAGTTTTTCATTGCACAGCATAAGCTTGATGAAAATTGCTCACCCCAACTTCATGAATTCCTTTCGCAACCTCTTGAAATTCGTTCCAACGATGAACAACTGACTGCATGGGTAATGGTCATTATATTTATAACATCGAGTAATTGTTAATTAGAGGGTAAACTTGTAAAAGAATAAATAAATATAAAAAATGATAATAGGTACAAAATAGAATCCTAGTCAAAAAATGAGTTTTTTTTTTTCCTCGATAACTGGGGTATTCAAGGCCCCAAAAAATTGTTCGCACTTAAGGGGAATCAAATTTGAGACCTGAAGCTACTTAATGAGGAGGCTTCAAAGCTGAAGTCTTTTCCACTAGGTGGGTATAAAAAAGGAAGTTCTAAATGCTATGAAGACTATATATATATATATATATATACACACACACACACACACACATTATTCTAAAACTATAAGTCCCCTTCCTAATTTCTTAACATTTTTTTTTTTAAATACAAAAAATCTAATAAAGTCTCATTAATACCCTTATGATTTATACCTCTTGAACAACTCGTTAAATCACATTTAAAAAAATTTCTACTATTTAAAAAAAACCTATTCCTTCCCAAAAATTGTAGAGCCAAAAAAAAAAAAAACAAAACCATGTGTTTACTCCATTATTTTTGGCCCAATGGAAAGGCAACATGTGGCGAGTTCCAATGAACTTGTCACACTGGATTGGTAATTTAATGTCCAAAAGAGGAAGTATAGTATATATGGTATTACTGAAGATTGATTTTTTGTTATCCACCAATAAGGAGGAGGTATGTGGTGAGTTCCAATAGAACTTGCTACGCTAGATCGCAACTTTGGAAAAATTCCATTATGAGTGTTTAAATTACATGATATCATATGGAAGTAAGGAATATGTGGACCCATCAAAGTCTTATTATGTAGTATTTTCTATCTTAGAAGGAAAGAGGCATGTCCAATTAAGACTTGCCATCTTTAAAGCAAGGGCCCACATCTTCCTATATGGAATGAATTTTACCACACATGGCGAGGTCTACTAAGCCTACTATGGTGCTAACCATGGTAGATCAATTCTTTTAAGAGTTGGTATTATGGAAGGTTCATGTAGAAAACTGTGCTTCTAAAGATTGTGTAATCCTAAGTAAAAGGAAGGTTTTCCATTCTACAAAACCAAGAGTTGACCAGGTCAGAAGAAGGAGAACGTGGGCTGGAATTTCTCCTAAATCTTAGGAAGCCTCAACAGCTATCTTAGTTAAATCAACGACATTGCTAAAGAAAAGGTAAGTGGGATGACACATATTTATGAATATATATATATATATATATATATATATATATATATATTTGTATTATATGCACCCCATGATGAAGAAGTCGCTAGAAAGAAGGAACCGTGACGCCATGAAGCCAGGATAGAAGGTTTAATTAAGGAAGGTCACTAAAATCAAGGGGATATGGTGGAACAAGAGGACGTGGGAGATGGGATATATATATTTTTGATATAGATGTATATTACTCATGAAAGAAAACCACTTAAAGAAAGGGTCACGATGCCATGCAAGCTGATATCAGTTTGGAAAGTATAACCAGAAGGAAGTTACCTAAAGATAAAGAGAGCGTGGGTCTGTAAATAATTCCTATAAACATGCATGTATATATGGAATAAAAGGAGAAGAAAGACTCTAAAGAAGGAAGGGACTACAAGAAATCGTGGGACACTTGATCAGTTGAAAGTGGTGGAACCATGAAAGGTAACTACCATTATTTGAAGTAAGTAATTAAATCGTGTCTGAGAAGAGGAATAAATTTGCAGCAAATAAAGGAGATGTGGGTTTACAAAATTAGACATATATATATGCATGTATATATGGAATTATAAGGATCGTGGGACACTTGTCCAAACAAGGATACGTCAGTTGAAGGTGGTGGTATTTCATGCAACTACTGCCATTAGCTGAAAGGAAGTTGTCGTAAATCATGGATGGTAAATGACGGTCGAGGCCGCTTGTATACGCCAAAATAATGTAGTGAATGTGCAGTTCAAGAAAAGCCTTTTAGGTCAAGTTTAAATTTATGAAAACCACTACCACCACTACTACTAACGTAGCAAGAGTAAGTAGGGATCGTCCTAAGGGATTTGGGGGCAGTATTGATATGGAAACAATATATAGGGTTAGTAGGTCGAGTGATCAAAAGGTGATTTGTTTGGTTAATTAAATTACTAGTTAAAACTAAACAAGTTCAATGTAAAACAAACAATAACAAATAAATGATAGAGGGAACAAGAGAGAGAGGTCTTGGTACTTAGAGGTCACCACTAAACATCACCTTTCTAGACACTTAATGTATAATTAATGAGGGGACACATGTGTTGCAACAATAGTGTGTGTGATTGATTGTTTCAACAAGCATGGGACCAATTAAGTATATATTGTCTAAGCAACCCAGTGAATAGTACAATATATCAAACTAAACCATTAATCCTTCCTTTAAGCTCATAATCTAAACACATCACATGGTTAGAAAAATTTACTATTTGCATTCATAAGCATGGAACATCAAGCAACAAGCATGGATTGTCCTCCCATCTAAGAAACTAAGGCAACTACACTACAACTAAGCTAGGGACATGAAAATTAAACTAATTAAACTAAGGGAGAGGCACAATCCATTAAGAAATGAGCATATACCATCAAATAAACCACAATAGTATTCTATTAAGCACTATGCCTTGACAATCTCTAAATCCATAGCATCAACACACATAGACATGCATCAACAACACAAAAACTAGAGATAAACATATGAACATCTATTCTAGTATACATAGACATATGGATAGAATGAAATGATCAATAGGAAGTATTAAACCACACAAATCATTGTATAAACAAGATTCATATATAAATAAAGTGTCAAGACAAGAATCACAACACAAATCCCCTCAAAATACAAAACATCAAGGTCTAGAAGGCATGCTTAGGGCTAACTTTAGCTCCAAGAAGATGTTTAGCCACTCATTGATGTAGTCCTCTAACCCTTAAGCGCTATCTCCATGGTAGGAATGATCTTCTTCTTGATGAAAACCCTAGATGAATGGAAGAACTCCTAAAATGATATGTCTCTAGTCTCTAGCCTCTCCTCCTCTCTTTTCTTAGTCTCTCAGTATGTAAGTGAATGAATGTTGCTCTTAAAATGGCTCTAAATCATTATATAGGTAGCTCAAGTGTCACACCTAATGGTCTGGACTCATACACTAAGGCCCCTTCAATGATTGCACCATGAACCATCTTTTAATGAGCTGGACTCTGTTTTATTTCGCACTTGAGAGGGTTCGATCGATCGAACTTGGGTGAGATCTATCAAATTTTGGCGAGATTGATCCTTCCATGGTGGCGCCTTTTTGAATAAAGATAAATCTGAGATATTTTAAAGATATTTTGGGAAAAAGACAAAAGTGGTAGGTGGAGTGGTAGGTGGGGATAAGATCAAAGGATTTCGATCGATCTGAGGAAAGTTAGATCAATCAAAGATGGTGGAATCTTTTGGATAAGGACAAAGGCTTGGATCCATCTTGAAATGGCTAGATTGATTACCTCC